GGGGTTTCACCATGTTGACCAGGATGGTCTCGATCTCTTGACCTTGTAATCCACCCGCCTCGGCCTCCCAAAGTGCTGTGATTACAGGCGTGAGCCACCGCGCCCAGCCGGCTGGCTAATTTTAAATTTTTTCTTTTGTAGGGACAGGGTCTTGCTATGTTGACTAGGCTGATTTTGAATTCCCGGGCTCAAGCAATCCTCCTGCCTTAGCCTCCCAGAGTGTTAGGGTGATAGGTGTGAGCCACCACACTGAAGCCTCACTTTTTTATTCTAGCTATTCTAATGAATGTGAAGCGGTAACTCATTCTGGGTTTGATTTACATTTCCCTAGTGTCTAATGAGGTTGAATGTCTTTTTTTTTTGTACTTATTATCCATTTGTATATTGTCCTTGGAGAAATGTCTGTTCATATCCTTTGCCTATTTTTAAATTGAGTTGTCTTTTTATTATTGAGATGTAAGAATTTTCTGCATATCCTAGATACAAATCCCTTATCAGATATGTGATTTGCAAATATGTTCTTCCATTTCGTGGGTTTTGTCTTTACTTTCTTGATGATGTCTTTTGATTTTTAAATGTTTCTAATTTTGAGAAGTCCAATTTATCTGTTTATTTGGTTGCCTATGCTTTTGATATCATATTTCAAAATTGTTTGCCAAACCTGGGGTTATGAAGAGTTACAGTTACATTTTCTTCTAAGAGATATGACTTTAGCTCTTACATTTAAGTCTGATCCATTTGAGTTAATTTTTGTATGTGCTATAAGAGTTCAAGTTCATGCTTTTGCATGTGGCTATCCAGTTGTTGTCCCAGCACCCTTTTTTGAAAATACTGTTCTTTCCCAATTATGGTCTTGGCCCCTTGATGAAATTCAGTTGACCATGGATGTAAGTGTAACTGCCCAAGGGATTCACCTTGCCTGCTGCCTAGACAGAGCCAATTCATCAAGACAGGGAAATTTCAATAGAGATAGAATAACTCATGCAGAGCTGGCTCTGCAGGAGGACAGAGTTTTATTATTACAGAAATCAGTCTCCTTGAGCATTCAGGGAGCAGAGTTTTTAGGGACAATTTGGTGGGTGGGAGAGGCCAGTGAGCT